ATCTATCTATCTATCTATTATCTATCTATCTATCTATCTATCTATCTATCTATCTATCTATTATCTATCTATCTATCTATCTATCTATCTATCTATCTATCTATCTATTATCTATCTATCTATTATCTATCTATCTATTATCTATCTATCTATCTATCTATCTATCTATCTATCTATCTATCTATCTATTATCTATCTATCTATCTATCTATCTATCTATCTATCTATCTATCTATTATCTATCTATCTATCTATCTATTATCTATCTATCTATCTATCTATCTATCTATTATCTATCTATTATTTATCTATTATCTATCTATCTATCTATCTATTATCTATCTATCTATTATCTATCTATTATCTATCTATCTATTATCTATCTATTATCTATCTATCTATCTATCTATCTATCTATCTATCTATCTATCTATCTATCTATCTATCTATTATCTATCTATCATCCATTAGGTACATCAGAGAAATACCCATCTTTAGTGTCAGTGGGAGGAATAGTGCTCTATTGTTGGTATCAGTGGGAGATATGGTACCCCATTAATGGTGTCAGTGGGAGGAACAGTGCCCCATCCATGGTGTCGATGGGAGGAATAGTTCCCCTTAATTGGTGTCAGTGGAAGGAATAGTGCCCCATTGTTGGTGTCATTGGAAAGAATAGTACCCCATCATTGTTGTCAGTGGAAGAAATAGTACCCCATCATTGGTGTTAGTTTAAAAAATAGTACCCCATCATTGGTGTTTAGTGGAAGGAATAGTGCCCCATCATTGGTGTCAGTGGGAGGAATAGTGCCCCATCGTTGGTGTCTGTAGGAGGAATAGTGCCCCATCGTTAGTGTCTGTAGGAGGAATAGTGCCCCATCATTAGTGTCAGTGGGAGGAATAGTGCCCCATCATTGGTGTCAGTTGGAGGAATAGTGCCCCATCAGTAGTGTCTGGGGGAGGAATAGTGCCCCATCATTGGTGTCAGTGGGAGGAATAGTGCCCCACCGTTGCCGTCAGTGGGAAGAATAGAGCTCTGTTCATATCAGTGGGAACAATAGTGCCCCATCATTGGTGTCAGTTGGAGGAATAGTGCCCCATCAGTAGTGTCTGGGGGAGGAATAGTGCCCCATCAGTAGTGTCTGGGGGAGGAATAGTGCCCCATCATTGGTGTCATTGGGAGGAATAGTAAATCAAGGGACAGTTAAAGGCAAGCAAAAGTCTACATCCAGCTCTCAGCCACAGTTTGGAGACCATAGATTCTCCAGCAGAGTCCAGCAAGCGATACAACACAGGAATCCCTGCACTACAGCAAGACCACGCAGCAAGTGCACATCCATCTGGCACTGACCTGCCTTCATCTAATTTTGGATAAAGTCAAGCCAATGTAGAGGAAAAATAAAGACACTTTGCATGTTATGTAGATGTGCCTTATTTTGTGTTGTTGTAGTATGGATGTCTTCTGGGTGGAATGACACCCACCATCATTCAGCCTGGAGACTGAGGACAAACTTTTGAGTGCAGGGTGTCATAGACTCAGCCCTGGGGGGAACCCTCAAGCACCTTGCACTCACAGTGCACTGATGCAGAGAGTGATGCTGTGGTCTTCACATTGGTGCCCCTCTCTGCAATATCCAGGACCACCTACTGCTGGGAGAAGACCTAAGAGGAAGAGGATCTACCATGTCAAAAAGATTTTATCCTCTGTTGGGCTCTTTATTACTTCTGCTTTACTTTCTTCCGGCATGATCTCCTCTTTAAGAACAAGCAATATGTGGAAAGTGAAGCAAGGGACAGATCCCACCACAGCTGAAGGCCAAAGCTACAATTCAAGGAGCTGGAGGGGCTCAAAGATGGGCATGGGTGGGGGTTGTTGGGATTTAACTACAAGATTTGTAGGAGTTGTGATATGTGCACCGATACTTGGGCTGGACAGGAATGTCCCCAATAATTTCATAGAGAAGAGAGTTCTAGTTGATGAGATTTCCATGGATTGCCATACAAGGCTTGCAGCATTTCATCAGGACATAATCCCACATGTGGATGTCTATTATCACTCCAACAAATGGCCACAAAGAGAAGATTGTCCCTCAAAAGAATCCTGTTTCTGCCCCAGAACCACGCTGGTTTTGGCTGCGATAGAAGACCCTTTCATGCAGACCCTTCTGGGGTAGAGCTTTCCGTTGATCCATATTTGGACCACTCCATTGTCCGAATCCCAGGTCACACAGGTGTGCCTCCAGTCGAAGGGCTCCCCGCCTGTCATGAAAGTGGTGGAATCCTGATTTATGTATACAGAGCTGGAGAAGGAAGATTCATAGAAATAAAAAGCACTGCCCATTCCAGGAGTAGCTAGAGAGAAGTGACTGTAGGTGTGTATGAGGTCACTGAAAGAACGTAGACAGACGCTGACTTTCTCCAATGGCTTGGTAATGTTAATTGGTGTCAAAGACACATAGTCTGTGGAGGTTTGTTTGGGGAAGATGAAGACTTTACCCTTCATGTCTAGAAAAGAAAAAAAAATAGTGCTACAGGCATGCTGTATATATATTTCAATAACATCTATCTATCCCATAGCCTCACAGTATACCAACTGTCCTCCGTACCCCCCTCCATTCTCCTCTTAAACCCCCAACCCCCGAGCTTCAGCCTCACAGTATACAAACTGTCCTCCATATCTCCCAACATTTTCGGCCTAAACCCCCCACCCCCCAGAGCTCCAGCCTCACAGTATACCAACTGTCCTCCATACCCCCCTCCATTCTCCTCCTAAACCTCCAACCCCCCAAGCTCCAGCCTCACAGCATACAAACTGTCCTCCATACCCCCCCTCCATTCTCCTCCTAAACCTCCAATCCCCAGATCTCCAGCCTCACAGTATACCAACTGTCCTCCATACCTCCCAACATTCTCGGTCTAAACCGCTCACCCCCCAGATTTCCAGCCTTACATTATACCAACTGTCCTCCATACCCCACTCCATTCTCCTCCTAAACCCCCACCCACATATCTCCAGCCTTACAGTATACCAACTGTCCTCCATACCCCCATTCTCCTCCTTACAGTATACCAACTGTCCTCCATACCCCCCCATTCTCCTCCTTACAGTATACCAACTCCCCTCCATTCTCCTCCTAAACCCCCAACCCCCCGAGCTCCAGCCTCACAGTACACAAACTGTCCTCCATACCTCCCAACATTCACGGCGTAAACCCCCACCCCCAGATCTCCAGCCTTACAGTATACCAACTGTCCTCTATACCCCCCTCCATTCTCCTCCTAAACCCCCAACCCCCCGAGCTCCAGCCTCACAGTATACACACTGTCCTCCATACCTCCCAACATTCACAGCGTAAACCCCCACCCCCAGATCTTCAGCCTTACAGTATACCAACTGTCCTCCATACCCCCCTATTCTCCTCCTAAACCCCCACCACCAGGTCTCCAGCCTTACAGTATACCAACTGTCCTCCATACCCCCCCTCCATTCTCCTCCTAAACCCCCATCCCCAGAGCTCCAGCCTCACAGCATACAAACTGTCCTCCATACCCCCCTCCATTCTCCTCCTAAACCCCCATCCCCAGAGCTCCAGCCTCACAGCATACAAACTGTCCTCCATACCCCCCTCCATTCTCCTCCTAAACCCCCATCCCCAGAGCTCCAGCCTCACAGTATATAAACTGTCCTCCATACCCCCTCCATTCTCCTCCTAAACCCCAACCCCCAGATCTCCAGTCTCACGGTATACCACCTGTCTTCCATACCCCCTCCATTCTCCTCCTAAACCCCCACCTCCATTCCAGCCTCACAACTGTCCACCATATTTCCCTTCCACTCTCCTTTTAAACCCCCACCCCCAGATCCCCACCCTCACAGTAAACAAACTGTCCTGCATAGCCCCCTTCATTATCCTCCTAAACTCTCACCCCCAGAGCTCCAGCCTCACAACTGTCCTCCATACCCCCCTTTGCTCTCCTCCCAAACCCCCACCCCCAGAGCTCCAGCCTCAATGTTTATAAACTGTCCTCCATACCCCCCTCTACTCTTTCCCCAAACCCCCACTCCCTGAGAGCTCCAGCATCACAACTGTTCTCCATAGCCCCCTCCATTCTCCTCCTAAACCCCTACCCCCAGAGCTCCAGCCTCAATGTATACAAACTGTCCTCCATACCCTCCTCCATTCTCCTCCTAAGCCCCACTCCCAGAGCCACAGCCTCACAACTGTCCTCCATACCCTCCTCCTCTCTCCTCCTAAGCCCCCACCCCAAGAGCTTCAACCTCACAACTGTCCTTAATACCCCCTTCTGCTCTTCTCTTAAACCCCTCACCCCAAGAGCTCCAGCCTCAATGTTTATAAACTGTCCTCCATACCCCCCCTCCACTCTCCCCCTAAACCCCCACTCCCTGAGAGCTCCAGCATCACAACTGTTCTCCATAGCCCCCTCCATTATCCTCCTAAACCCCTACCCCCAGAGATCCAGCCTCACAGTATCCAAACTGTCCTCCATACCCTACTCTTCTCTCCTCCTAAACCCCCACCACCAGAGCTTCAGCCTTACAGTATACAAACTGTCCTCCATACCCCTTTCCATTCGCCACCCAAACTCCCACCCCCAGAGCTCCAGCCTCACAACTGTCCTCCATACTGCCCTGTGCTCTTCTCCTAAGCTCCCACCCCAAGATCTTCAACCACACAACTGTCCTCAATAACTCCCTTCGCTCTTCTTCTAAACCCTCACCTCCAGATCTCCAGCCTCACAGTATCCAAACTGTTCTCTGTACCCTACTTTGCTCTCCTCGTAAATCCTTACCCCCAGAGCTCCAGCCTCACAATATACAAACTGTCCTCCATACCCTCCTCCATTCTCTACTAACAGTATCCAAACTGTCCTCTATATTCTGCTCCTCAATCCTCCTAAATAGAGCACCAGCTGTTCTGTATAAAAAATTTCTTTTATACTTCCCTCCATTCTTCTCCTCGCTTAGATTACAGACTGACCTCCATAACCCCCTCTGTTTTTTCAAAACTCAGTCCTCAAACCTCTAAGATCCTACCCTTGCTCCATAATTTTTCACATTCTTTGAAATGATTAATAATTGTATTTCCAGAAGAAGGTCTTATAAAATGGCTGAGGATGTTCATGAACAGTTTACGTTTTCAGATCTAGTGTGGCCAGGAGCCATTGTACACGGTCTGGAAGGAAACAGTTTTGGAAAGGAACATGTCCTCTACCAAATGGCAGTATTTCCAGACGTGAGCAATAGAAACTGTATTGAGTGCATGTCCCCAATAACTTGTTTTAAGACGTCAACTCTCTTTTCTCCTCCTTTGCCATGGAGGACATGTGCTGTAGGCCTTATCAATAAGCATGTCATCCACAGCCACCATTTTGCTGAAGACCAGAACATTGTTTTATCCGCAACATACTTCATCCTTGCCCATCATTGTAAAATTCTTACTTGCACCACTGGTGTAGACTACAAGCAGCTGTGCCAATATTCATGGTAGTCACTATCAGGAAGCCGGTTCAGAGCATTGATGTGGAGCCGATGCTGGTGCAGGTAAATAAAGATAGGATGTGGCTACAAGAGTCTGGAGGAACTAAGCAGCACTGAAATTGGGGACAGGATGATAAAAAGGTAAAAATATGACAATTGTTGGTGAACATTTAGATTTACTTGAACTATGACTTGGAGAGCTTCTTTAAATAAAGACTTGAGATGGGAGGGTAGCACTGGACCTCCAGGGTTGTCCTATTGGAATAGGAGTTGTGGTATTTAGATTCTGGGTCGGCATGTTTTCCCCTTAAGAGGAATTCCATAGAGTGAGGCACCGCACCAAAAATTAATTATCCAGATACAAATTCATTCCAATGTCAAATCTGCTAAAATGTCGCACAGCCAATATATTTCAGGGCCCAGGAACTGCCCCCTTCATCAGGCCCTGGGGGTGGGAAACTATTATAGTTCCCCTGGGCAGGTAACACGGGCTCACCTGAGAAGTGGGGTCTATGCAACAGTTGGTCTTCACCAGAGTTCTAGAAGGTGGAAATGGGCTGGAGACCCTAGTCATGGCCGCAAGGATTGCCCCTCCAAGAGGATAGCTGGAAAAGAACAGTTATAGTGTGGAGGCTGTACACTAGGCAGCAGACAGGAGAATAGTCAGGCCAAGGCAAGGATCTTGACAGGCAGCAAACAACTGTAGTTCGGTAAATCCAGGTCAGTAAGGGTCAGGCAATCTTGCACGTAAGTATTATAGGTCTTTGTAACAAGGGGTATCTGGTGAGAAGACACATACTAGTCACTTCAGAGACAGAAGATTGGTCCCACCCTATTAGTCAGAGGATATGTCCAGAGCTATTTCAGGGAGCTGAGGCAATGATTCTGCAATTCTCATTGGAAGTACTGGAAGGAATTCTGTCAATACCATTGGAAGTATTGGAAGGGATTTTGGAAGTCCTGGCAAGGATTATGTGAGTACCAATAGGAATACTAGTAGGGATTTTGATGAGTGCCATTGGAAGTACAAGCAGGGATTCTCCATTGAAAGTATTATCATGGATCCATGAAGACCTTGCAGTACTTCAATGAGTACCATTGGAAGTACTGGAAGGGAATCTCGAAGAACTGGCCAGGATTCTGTGAGTACCATTGGAAGTCTTGGCAGGGATTCTGTAAGTACCATTGGAAGTCTTGGCAGGGATTCTGTGAGTACCATTGGAAGTCTTGGCAGGGATTCTGTGAGTACCATTGGAAGTCTTGGCAGGGATTCTGTAAGTACCATTAGAAGTCTTGGCAGGGATTCTGTGAGTACCATTGGATGTCCTGGCAGGGATTCTGGAGGTACTGACAGGGAATCTGTGAGTACCATTGCAAGTACTGGCATGGACTCTATGAGTACCATTGGTAGTACTGGCAGATCTCCTGGAAGTCCTGGAAGGGATTCATGAAGACCTGACAGTGATTATTTGAGAACCATTGGAAGTACTGGAAGAGATTCTGGAAGTACTGGCAGGGATTCTGTGATTACCAATGTAAATCCTGGCAGGGATTCTGGGAGTAGTATTGAAAGTCCTGGCAGGGATTCTCTGAGTACCATTTGAGGTCCTGGCAGAAATTCTGTGAGTACCATTTGAGGTCCTTACAGGAATTCTGGAAGTACTTACAAGGAACCTGTGAGTCTCTTTGGAAGTGCTGGCAGAGATTCTGTGAGTACCATTGCAAGTACTGACATGGACTCTATGGGACATCTGTGGTTGATTAAGGTGGCAATTAAACTCGCTTAATGCCTTATCTGCAATGGAAGCCCTGGCAGGGATTCTGGGAGTACCAATGGAAGTCCCGGCAGGGATTCTGGGAGTACCAATGGAAGTCCCGGCAGGGATTCTGGGAGTACCATTGGAAGTACTGGCAGGGATTCTGGGAGTACCAATGGAAGTCCCGGCAGGGATTCTGGGAGTACCATTGGAAGTGCTGGCAGGGATTCAGGGAGTACCATTGGA